TGTCAAAGCTACTTTAGTTGAAGCTTTAGAAATAAAATAAATAAACAGCACCAGCCCCCCTTACTTCTCGTGCACCTCCACCCCACCCCCGCTTTCCAACATCGACTTATGGATCATTATGAATCAATTACTGCTCTCATACTTTCCCATTGGCTTAAATAAAACAGTCAAAGATGAAAACGGGGGGGGGGGTCTTTTTCTTTCTTTCCTTCTTTTTTTCTTTTTCTTTCCACGGATAGGAACAACCACGAAATCCATGATCTCATAATCAGGGGCGCTGGGTTAGGAGGAGGTGAACAGAAAGGAAAGGGTCACCAAGGAAATAATGGGGGTGCAGGGCCGGGGGAGGTGTCGCCCAGCTGCTGTCTTTGTTTTATTTCAGATGGATTTGGTTTGTTTGTTGTTTGGGTTGTTTTTTTTTTTTTCCTTGAACGGAGAGGGGGGAGGCCCTCGTGAGAATCAGATGCCTACAACTTTGCGACCTAATTATTTAACTCCTTTGCAGAGACCTATTTGAGTGTGTGTCTCGGCAAACATCAGATGTTGTTGGTGGTGAGCTCGCACATGGGGAGAGGTGTGGAGGAATGGGTCCGTCTGGAGGTCGGGTTTGCACTTTGTTGTGAGCAGCTGTGCGCGGGAGGGGTCGCTGCCGGGGAGGCAGGGTCCCCCCTGCCGCTGGCTGTTTGTGCCGCCGAGCTGGTTTGGATCAGGACCCGGCCCCACGCGCCCCGCCCCCACCGCGGCCGCCCCGGGCTTTTCTTCGCTCTCGGTCCCTGGTCCTCTAGGTGTTTCTATGACTACATTGTGTGTGGGAGGGTCAGACGTGGGGGTTGCCCGCGAGAGGCCGTTCCTGGGCGATCATTTATCAATGTCACCCACATAATGATTCTCTCTGCAGCCTCCTATTGATGAGGATAATTACATTAGCTCAGAGTGACTGATCAATGAAAAACCACCACACAAAAACTTCTTTGCTCCTCTATAATACCAAAAACCGATACAGAAATAACATAGAAAGCCTGATTTTTCTTTCCCTTCTCAACCCACCAATGGATTCTGCACCCCCTACCCCCAAGGACGGGGAATAAAGTAAGAAAATAGACCTAGGTTTGTTTCGTTTCAAGGAGGATGCAATTTTGTCTCTGAATGCATTTTCTCTAAATGTGTTGGCTTCAATTCTCCTTTGGTAGAGAATATCAACGGATTTGCTAATGTGAGTTGCTTTTAGATTGCGCTGTGGTTTTCCTTTCTTTTTATTTCTTCCCTCCCCTTTGGGTATTCCACCCTCCTGTTTCAAAAACGGAGACAATCTTTTTTATAAATAATTGGAAAAAGAAATTACTCTAGATCCCTTTTAAAATACAAAGTGTTTGCCTTCGTGGGGTTATCTTTTGTCTTTATCACTTCATAAAGTAGCGCAATTAAAGATGTGATGTCGCAGGGGTGTACGGGGTGGATCCATTATACTAGGACGTAAGAAGCTATATTCTCGCCTGAAAGTTTGTACCTAAATTACGATTTCGCTTTTTCTAGACTTAAAAATCAATATTTTCTCAATTAAAGAGAATTTTAATGCTTTACTTGCGAGTTGTTAACTGCGCTGTAAATTTTATTGTAATGTTTCTTGACTTCGGACTAGATGAAGGAGACCCGTTGATTCTCGTGGATTTTTTTCCCCTCTCAGAGAACCTAGCCCAGGAACATCCAGTGGTTTCAGATCAAATCAAGGAACAAAGGTAAGGGCAGTTTTCGAATGCCTCCAGGGACCAGGCACAGGGTGGAGATGTTGCCAGGGGAGCCCTCCACCGCCAGAGGCCATTGTCTTGAGTGTTTTCACCTCTGCGTGCGCCTCCTGAAAGTAAGCGGAGTGTCTGTTTTCACCCATCTTTCTTCTGGGGAAGCGTGTTAGACCCAACATCTGCTCTGGGAGGGACCGAAAAGGAGGTGCGTTGGAAAAGCATGGTACTCTCCTCGCAGTGCCCTCCTCCCTCCCTCTTATTTCTCCAAAGTACATCTCCCACCTCCGTACTGGTTCTTTCGCCAGCCCTGCCATGTTTTATGTGTGCTCTGGCCTCTGTATCAGCAATGGCCCCCACCCTCCTGAGCTCACACTGCTCACAGATGTTTTCTCCTTGCACACGTCCCACCTAGTAAAAGTTCCCGCAGAGAATTAACTGTGGTGTGTTAATAGCCCAGACCTGCTACTGCTCTGTCCTGCAATGCTGGAATCTGGGATTTTGGAGGATGGTGTTGAGCTAAGGTGGCAGAGCTGCTCCAGGCCTGCCCATAAAAGCCCAAAGATGAGAATTTCAAGGCCCAGGGACTTGGTGAGAAGCAAGGTAGTGAAACTTTCAAAAAGTGAAGGCAGAGCAGTGAATGGAGGAGGAGGCTAGAGTGGGCTGGAGTGGGAGAAAAAAGGGGCGAGGCAGCAAAATGAGCCTTGGGACCTCATTTCAGAATTTAAGAAGAAATAATAATGAAGGGGAATGGAATATCTACAGCTTGCTACTGTTTTTTTTAATCCAGCCTCGTTTAAAAGCAAGTCCCCAGAGACGCCAGGCAGGGCCTGTGTTTCAAATGGGACTGAGTCCTACAAAGTTCCTTTTGCTGTTCCCTCTTCAGCTAATTTGCTGGGAATGAGCAGGCTGGGACAGGGCTATGTGTGTGGTGTACCAAGGGCTTAAGAAAGAGTATTATGGGAAGGGGCACCTAGATATAATGAGACTGCTGTTTTAAGCTGAATAGAAAATGAGTGGAACAGACAAAACGCCACACAACACCACAGTGCACTTTAAAATAATTCTCACCTACCCACCTTGCTTTTTTCTCTAACCACATATTACATGCAGTAGAAGACACAGGTGGAGGACACTTCTAGCTCCTCATCTTCTATCTGTAGACCCACCCAACAGATCCCTCTTCCCTTAGATTCCTGACATGTAAGCCTAGACCACGGCCTTTTTATCAAGTGAGTGGGGCTTTGTTAATGCATTTGTACTTTTCCGCTTTCAGTCTAAGTTTCTCCCTTTGGCGGATTGAGGAGGTGCAAGAAAGGAGGGGGAGGGGAGCAGGACACAAAGACTTTATCTAGTTCTCACCAAGCAGGTTTCAAAATAGGAATTTAATGGGAAGAAAGACGAAAGAATTAAAAGAAAAACTAAAGAGGGGCGTGAGAAGTGTTTATTATAGCGGGTGTACTTGCTTGGAGCAGAGGTGAGCCTGTGAACATTTTTTTCCTTTTGAAGATTCTGTTTCCCTCATATTGAAACATTTTCAAATTTTAATCCTTTAGCAGACAAAACCTCGATATAAATATGACATGGGCCACTGGCAAAAAAACGAACTTAAACTCAGGGCGCAGAGGGGAGGGGGCTGGGAGGAGAGAGAGCCCTTCCTGATTAATAACTAGCAGGGTAATGTTGAGGGCTTTTTCTGCCCGATTGCCTTTTTGAATTAGAGCCGATTTCTTCACACTTCAATAGTGCCTGTCTCCTTTAAAATGACTGGCAGATTTGTTTCTCTTTTTTTTTCTCTCCCTGAGACTTAATGATGTAAATTTTCTAATTAGTTAAATCATATTGCTTAAAGGCCTAATATTTACCATGGAAGAAATGATCATTCTGATTTGGGCCTCTTGAAATATTCCGAGAAATAACATTTGGCTTTTAGGTTGAGGCATGAGAGGAGCTGGGTTACGGAAAGCAGTTTAGCAGGGCAGGCGCGCACCCTGGCAACATGTTAAATTAATAGTTTAAGTTGAGCTGGGCTCACACCCCAAGTCCGCTTTTATTTTTCAATCAGCGAAGATTTAATTGGCAGCCCTCGGGCCGGGCGAGCTGATATTTTCTCATTAGTTTCCCATCACTAATCTTGAGTGTTAGATTGGCTTAAAGGTTGTCAACATTTGACCAATTTTATTTAAGGGGGAAAAAAATCACTCGTTGTTGCTCCGGGACGTGAGATCTGCGAATAAATCCTGCTTGGATCAGCGGAACCAACAGGCGAAAAAAACGTTGACTATTCATCGTCGCTTCTAATAAGTTGCATCAATGTATATTTCAAGACTAGGGAGATTATACTTGCACTGCGTTGATACAGATGAAAACAAAGAGGTTGATAGGGAGGGGGCGAACTGTAAGTGGAATGGGTGGGTAAAGTGAGGCGTGGACATATTTCAAACCGAGGGTAAATAACCCAACTGGAGTAGCTGCTGAGGGTTTAGGAGCTACAGTTCCTCCTCCCCTCCCTTTTGCAGCTGCGAGAAACTGCCAAGCCTGTCTTGCAAGCTCTGAGCAACTGACTTCGCGGTCTGGTCCAGAGATAACATCAGAGCGCCCCCTGCTGGCCGACAGAGCAGAGCGCGGCGGGTCAGCCCCCAGCGAAGCGAATCGTGTTTCTGCACCCCCCAGACTCCACCGCCTGCTTCCCCCACTCCCTCCTTGTTCAGCTGCAAAACGCCTCGGCAGGGGAAAAAGCCTGTCAAGGCTGAACATTTGAATGAATAAGTGATAAAAATAATAATAAAATACGAAGGAACTCCCTCCTTCACTTGGCCTCGGGGGACTAAACTACCCAAGCCTTAGCCCAGGGACACATTTCCTTGTGCTAAATCGCTTCTTCTGTGGGGTTTTGCTGCAGTTTTTTCCCCCATGCTAAAGTGTTTCAATAAGAAATGTTTTAATAGATAACTGCAGAATTTTTAATAGATAGCTGATGGGAAAACGGCCACCACAAAACAATATTTGGCATCCTCACTACCCTGAGCTCCTGAGAAAGAAGTGTCCCGGTTGTAGCAAAGTGCGCAGGGCTGGCTCTGGGGATGCAGCGGTCCTTGACGGTGTCTGGGCTGACCCTTGCCTGACAGAAAAGGGTCAGAGTCCCCATCCCTCCCTCCCTGCCTTCTTCCCTTCCTCCCTTCCTCCCTTCCTCCCTTTCTTCCTCTTCCTCTCCTTCCTTTTTCTTTCTGGTTAAAAGTTGTTATTGTACACACACACACACACACACACACACACATACACAGAGGTCTTTTCCACGCGTGTGCGTATTCTCGCTTGCCCGGTGCTTCCCGATTTTGCTGGAAACGGAAAGAGTGGCTTAAGTGCGTCCCAGCAAACCGGCAATGTCTTTGACACTTGATCTCGGTGCTGCACGTCCAAAGCAAGGTGTGGGGCTGCTACCATTTGAGTGTGTTTGGGTTGTTCTTCAACGGTTCAGTGCGTAGAGGCTTTCTCGCGGCCTCCCAGGGAGTCTCGGTGGGGCTGAGCCCGGCGCAGCGCGCGGCGCGCAGGTAACCGAGCCGGGCTATCGCGGGCGGGCAGACGCGCCGGCTCCGCCGCCAGCCTCCCCTCTTGGGAAAGGCGCTCGCCAAGCAGCGCTGGCGCGGGACAGTCTTCTAACCACAGCGAGACCCCCACACGAAGCGTGCAAATCTGCAACGCGGAACGACTTTAGTTGCGGGGGTAGTTTTTGGTTTTGCTTTTCTAGAGATTTTGTGAAAGCTGTGGGAACTGAGGCGCGGGGGAAGGAGCTCCGGGCAGGGAGGAATGGAGGGCTAAGGGGGTCTCCTGACTTTCACTTCTTGCCCGAATATCTGGATCCTCGGTTTAAAAATCCACTCTCTTACTCGTTTCTCTACAGAAAGCCCGGTCCACCCCAACTCCTGTCCCTCTGAGGACGCTCCTGGCCGGGGACGGGGACCCAGAGGAGGAGCGCTCCTAGAGCAAGGCGGAGGTAGGAGACAGCGTGGGTCTTCACGTTAGACAAGTGATGTCTCCGTGCAGCTCTGTGGAAAAATTGGGGCTCGTGTGACAACCGAGATAAACTTAGATATTTATATTCAAGCTGCTATGTTGTCATTCGGGGATCTGTTTTGAAGAAGTTCATTGCTTTCAAACTTGCTTTAAACATAAATTCTGCTTGGGGGAGCAGGATCTATCCCTGCAGCTGACTTTTTTGGAAGATCCCCATTAAGCTCAGAATTGCCAGAGAAGTTGTTGCGGACCACTTGAAGCCATTTAAAACTGTGTGCGTATTATGTGCATGTGTTTGTATGGAATATACATACCTCCCTATCTGTGTGTCTGTATAAACACAATAAAAGATTAAAGACAAAGGATGAGTTGGCCTTCACTGCTGTTGAACCCAAATAAAAACATTTTCAGGAATGTACTCTCACAGATAAAGAAAATATGGAAATCTCATTGTGTTTCTCTCAGTTCGACTTCATAAAATTTGGAGGCACTGACAGTCTGGTCAGTGTTCTAAGTAAATTAATGCAAAGGTCCTTAGGAAGAGACAGAAAATACCCTCTGCCATTAATCTTTAACCACTTGAAGATTATGATTAAAAGAATGAGATCACTAAGCATTATCATCTCAAATAGCTGTTAACAGCCCCCATCCCTTACTGTGGCAACAAAATAAACTCTCCACTAGCAATGGCGGTTCTTCCTTCTCGCTTTTTTTTAATCTTTGTTTTTGTTTTGCTTTAAGGACAAAGAAGGGAAAACAGAAGCAAAGTCTTAGAATTGCCGGTGTTAAAAAAGACTGCTGTTCATTGCTGACTTTCTCATATTTTGCTACAAAGGAAAAAGAAATTGAATGATGTGTCTACATTTGAGAAGAAAACACTAGCAACAGTGGTGTAGGTGTGTTTGTTTCTTCTTTTTCCTTGAAAAAAAATGTTTCTTGATATTCAGCAATTTAGTGAGCTGAAAGCTGTAGAGATGTAAAAGACGTTTACTTGTCCTCGTCACTGGAGTTTTGTAGGCTTTTGAAACAAATAGAAATTGTGGGACAGAGATTTAGACACTTGCCAGGGAACAACAATATTATACACTTTCAAGGAACTCCCCCTAATCCTGTGTTTGAGCGCTGATGGGGAGGCAGAGGGGCTGCTCTTTCTCCTAATAAACCCCAAAGCCTCATTAGACAGAAAGTGGGTGGGAGCTCCATTACCGGGCATTTTGACAAAAGTGGAAGGGCCTGGTCTGCCCTCCGAGCCCGAGGAAAGAGGCCCCCGAATCCGCAGAAGCGTTGTTTTCCCTAGAGCCCCGAGTTGGGTGGACCTTTCAGAGCAATGCACAGCAATCGACATTCTAAGAAGCCAAACGCTGAAGCGGAGAGAGACTGCTAACAACAAAAAAATTAACCGCGCTAAAAATTACTCTTCAGACCCAGCACGTTTGCAGATGACACACAGTGAAGCCTGCGCCAAGCGCCCCTTCTACCCGCGCAGCAGGCCCTCCTGCGGGCGGGAGAGGTTCCAGTGGACAGCACAGCTGGAGAGCCCACCCGCGAGAGCGAGGGAACTGTTGCCCCGGGTTCCGGGCGGGGCCACACGGGGTGCCCCAGCAGCCCAGCCCGCGACTCCCACCTGTTCCCTGCTCCCCAAGCTGCTACGCGGGAGACAGCAGAAGCTGGAGCCTTTGCTCCAAGTCTTCGAGGGGTATCCGACCCGACTAAGGCTCTTCCTGAGCCGAGGAGGAAACCCCACTAGGCACCCCAGAAGCCCAGAGATCCCGCCAAAGGGCCGGGACCTTTCGATCCCAGGCAACGGCCTATCCGATTCGGGGCCAAGCTCCCGCGCGCGTGTGGACAAAAGGCGCACAGGCCAGGCCGGTGCCCAGCGAGTGTGACAGTCCGGGAGGGCAGCGCCCGCCGCGCGATGGTGCGCGTGTGCGCGCTCGCGTGTGTGAACACGTGCGCTCGGCGTGGGCCTCGCCGCGGAGTCCACGCGGAAGCACGCGCGCGCCT